GCGCGCCTCGCCGTCGTCGAGCTGCGCGCAGCGCCCGTCGCTGTCGCAGCGCGCGTACGTCCGTCCGACTTCGACCGCGCGCGCGACGCTCACGCCGTCGGAGGTGCCGCCGCCGACGCCGAGCATGGGCGCGTCCGCGCCGGCCGCGCCGTCGCCCGACGTCACGGCCGCCCTGTCGCCCGCGGACGAGTTGCGCGTCGCCTCCGTGCGCACCCAGATGGAGTTCTGGTTCTCGGCCAGCAACCTCCGCCGCGACTGGTACCTCCGCAGGCAGATGGACCAGGACGGATGGCTCGACCCCTCCGTCTTCCTCCTGTTCAACCGCATCAAGAACCTCAACGCAAGCCTGGCAGACATCATCCTCGCGTGCAAGTCCTCCGACGAGCTCGAGGTCAGCTCGCCCGGCGCCGCGTCCTTCGGCGATGACGCCGGACAGACCCGCGTACGCCGCAGCCCGGATCTCCCGGATTTTAGGAACGATGACGACCGCGAGGTCGCGCGCAGCTTCATTCTGCGCCGCATTCCTCAGGATAGCACCGTCGATTCCTTGTTGGAGCTGTTCAAGCCGCTAGGGCACGTCTCGTATGCCCGTATCTATCGCAGTACAAACTTTCCGGACGGGCCCAGGGCCCTAGTTTGCTTCCCGGATCAGGAGTCTGCCGACGCCGCGTTTTTGAAGTTTACCTCCCGTAGGCCCCCGGCGCTGGAGGGGATCCTCATGAAGAAGAGAGGCCAGAACCAGGGAGGGTTCAACCCCTCATCGCCCGACTTTTCCGTCAGACCGAATATGCTCATCTGTCACTTTACGGAGCTCTCGCCAGATCTCGACTGGAAGCGCTTGTATAAGACCCTGACCACTGTGTTCACGGAGCGGATAGGAGACGGGACCATGAGGTATTTAATGTACGTGCCAAAGGCGGACGAATGCCACGTAACGTGCAATGATAATGGCGCCACTCGCGCCCTGCTCGCCGAATTGACGGAGACGGGCCTTGTCATTGAAGATTCTACTGCAAAGGTAAGGATCTTGGAGGATGAAGAAGAAGTCAAGAACTACTGGAAGATGGCTGCCGAGCATCGCGCCTCGCGCAACGCTACTCGCACGCGTGACTCCACAAGTTCCTCCTTTGAACCTATCGACAGGCGTCCGCCGGGTGTTATTGTCAAGATTGACGGCCTGCATGAGGAAATGACCTGGCGTGACCTCAAGCAGGATCTCAGCCGCCTAGGGAAGCTCGTCTACCTCAACCATGAACGGGGCTCTAATTCATGCTATGTCCGTTTTAGCACGGCCGAGGAGTCTAGTCGGGTGGTGGATGCCCTCTCGGGACCGGATGCCGAAACGATCTGCGGAACAGTTGTGCAGTCTTCGGTCGTGGCCGGCGAAGAGGAAACCGAGTACTGGAATCGCGCCGAGGAGCTGCAACGGGACCGACGAAACAGTAGAGACAGTCCGCCTTACGAAAGCTAGTCCGGGTAACCTACAAACTTCATCATGCCAGAGTGTCAATTATGCCCGACGACCGATGCTACTATTTCACGAAACCTACACTTGTTTTGTCTAGTCTGACCCTGATGTTCGCTTTTTTTGATGTGGAGGGAGAAAAGGGTCACTACGCACGCGTCCAGTTGGCAGCACGAACCACTAATTTTCAATTTGGCCTCAATCCTCAGGGGGCTAGCTCGCCTTTGTGCTTCTATTCCCACCTCGTAAACTGTCGCTTTGAGCACACCGCCTCCCATTCTCCAAGAATTACAGAGTAGTCAAAGTTTTTACAGATGAAAAAAGAAGTTTGGTAGTACATGATGCAGTGCTACAGCTAAGACTGCCATTTGCTCGCTACTTCGAGTAGCAAGCTTTCACGAAAAGCTGGTGCAATCACGCAGATCCCATGTGGAATTTGCGAAGAATCCGATGGAGCTAGATGCAACGTCACTGCGCACAAATCCATCGCTGTAAACAGCCGAGAGAATTTGGACAACTTGCTGTTGGCTGTCTTGATATCTCGTGAGGCTTCCTCAACCGTGTAGCTCCCCGTCGCAACGGGAAGCACAGCTGCATCCACTGCGCTCCATATCCCTGCATCTGCCGTGCGCTTGTATTTTTCCAACTTCGCCAGGGCAGCCCCGAGAGCGGAAGCGGATATCTCGTCAATCGCGAGCACTCGATCAGAAACGGATGGTAAAACTGATTGTGGCGACCTTCGCACAGTCTCCGCCAGACCGTTAAGACGTGTGTAATGTATTGGAGCTTCCTCTAGCAAAGAAGCTACGTTTGAGAACACAGACAAGTCCAAATCCTTTGTAACGTATCCAAGTCGTCTGATTATTTCGACAGCTTTCTCGTATGCTGGCGTGAAGTGCTCATCATCGACATATGCTTGCATAGCGGATGTCTCACAGATGGCGAGCCGTGTACCACAGAAGCGAGATCTCGATAGCTCTCGCGATGAGGACGGAACCGGGCGCACTGCCGTCTGGGCCGTGTCTCTAGCTGAAATACAAACTTCGAGAACACGCCGAATATCAAGAGCATTGTTAGCATAAATGCCAATGCAATCCGTTGCTTCACAGGAAATCTCGGATTCCGACAATGGCAATAAACCTTCAGTTGTTTTAAGACCCATAACTCCGCAGAGAGCAGGAGCCAAAGTGGATGTTCCATTACGGTCGATTGCGATGGCAAACGAAGCAATTTGCTTCTTTACAGCCACTGCTGCTGGACCATTCCCACCAGTGACTAGTCCCTCGCAGACGGGATTCTGCAAAACCACGCCGGGAATCTCCAAGCCCGTGTTTCCCATGTTCAATTGATCCGTGTTTGTCTTTCCGACCAAAATTGCCCCGGCTGCACGCAGGGCATCAACAATAGGCGCGGACCTGACTGCTTTGTATCTGATATGAGGGCACAAGGCATGCGTTTCCATTCCCGCAACATCAATATCGTCAGCAACAACAAATGGGACCCCGTGGAGAGGTGTATGCTTTTGGGGCTTATCCTTTTCGAACTCTGATATGGCTGAATCGCAAGCAGATAACGAACTTATTACAGAAAAGACCCCCTGTGAGGCTCGTGCTTCCTGCAAGGCCTGTGTGATGACTTGACTAGGAGTTGCAATGCCAAGTTTGTATAACCCCCTTAAGTGATCGATTCGAGAATCTCCCATAGCAGCATCCGAATTGGAGACCACAATGCAAAGCTCATGGTCAGGGGAGACGGAATCACCTTTTGATACAGACAACCACTGCACTGTTCCAGACACTGGCGCCTGTAGAGCGATCTCAACCTTCATGCTCTCCAACGAGAAAAGATGTTGTCCCTCCTTCACTTCGTCTCCGTCCTTGACATGGACAGCCCAAACTGTAGCTGCCATACTAGCGAGTACCGGAATGGAAAACGGAGGTCTCTTTCCTCTCTTCGAAGAGAGAGAGCTGCCATTGGTTTTGCCAGAAGTACCCTTCTTGTTTGTGGCATGCTCGGCGGCTGCATTGCTTTCACCTTCACCTGTAGCTTCCCAATGTCGGCGCTCCTCATCGTACGCGGACATTCTCTTATTTTCAAAGTCTGCGATACTTTCCTTGTTTGCTTCACAAAACAGGAGATGCGACTTGTAAGAGAAGGTTTCATGGCGAATATCTATCTTGTATTCTCCCTTCCTGTACATGGTTCGGAGTTTCTCCAACTCATCGTCTGCCACTGGAAAGAATTTCACACGATCAAAGAACCTCAATAACCAGGGGATGCTTTTTGGAGCTCCTCTGTTTTCTTCAGGAACGGATCCATAATTATCCCAGATTGGCAATGTGCGCCCAGTGAGCTGGTATCCGCCGGGGGAGTCCATTCCATATATACACATGTAGGCTCCCCCAATCCCGACAGCACCTTCTGGTGTGTATGTCCGTGCCGGATTATATTTAGACGTCACCATTCGATGACGAGGATCGACGGGAACTGCACAAGGTGCGCCCAGGTACACATCTCCCAGCCCAAGGACCATGTATTCGGCTGTCGTCATGATACTCTTGACATCATTAACAGACTTTAGTCCATTGATGCGGCGAACAAACTCGACGTTGGACGGCATATACGGGGCTCCAGGGCGTACCGAGTGCATGTATTTCTCCTGTGCCTCGAGGGTCCATCTATCGTTGAATGCAAGAGGCAAATTTATAACTCGCGATGGGACGGAAGCATCTTCAATAGAACCTAGAACACCCTTCTCAAGTTCGTTGAAGATTGAAACAAGCTCGTGAACATGTATCTTCCTGCGGTCGTATCGCACAAGCAAGGAGCGAACGCCTGGGCACATTTCTCGGATGAAAGATCTCGACTTAAGCTCTTCCATCAACATGTGAACGCGGAGTCTATAAGCAAGGTCTAAATCGATGTCACCATACTCAATCAAGACGTGTTCGTCTCCGGACATACGATAAGAAACTTTGATTTCAGCATGATCACCCTTTGCTGGGTCAAGCACTGCAAGCACGGCTGGGACTTGTTTTGGAGAGGTATTGGTGATCCACCATGGATTCCATCGGTCAGCGATAGCATAGAGCACTTCGAGATCGTTTGAACGGACAGCTTCCCATGCTGCCGCAGTCTCCGAAAAAGCCGTGCTGGCATCATTGTAGTCGACCTGCTGGAATCTTATCTTCTCTCCTGGTGTTGCCTGTGCGACCTTCCAAAGATCTGCTGTCGCCACGGTGATGGGGCAAACGAAACCACCGAGTGAAGGCCCGTCAAGCATGAGCACAATTGGGGTATTGCCACTGAAGTTGACAGCCCCCGGAGCGTAAGTGTAGTCATGCAAGTTGGAGGGATGCAATCCAGCAGAACCACCGTCAGGCCTAGTCCATTTCGGGGCAGGTCCGATTAGTCGGGCACCTAGCCTGTTGGTAGCATGATGCACAGTGTACGAGCTGGTCCAAATGTCTTGAAGGGTTTGATCCTGAAGGAAATCCGGTGAAGCATGAGGCCCATTCAATGCTGCGACGACCCACTGCTCTTGGTCATATGAAGGAATGAATGCCTGAGGCAGAGGGTAGTCTATGGGCCAGCGGAAGCAAAGGCCATTTTTTTCGGCTTCATCAAGGGAGCCGAGCGAGGAATCGGCGATGGGAAGGAAATCTCCTGTCTGAAGAAACGAACCCGTCAAACCACCAAACCCTCCAGTGGGAAAAGTCGACTTACTGCCGAGATATTCTGGCACCGCAAAGCCGCCCCTGACAGCGATATACGCGATCTTACCGCCCAATGGGCGTGTTTCACCGTCCCAGTCTTCCTCCTCTCCACGGCGCGCAACTGCGCTCCCGCAGTAAAGCACAGAACCCTTCTTCACAATAAATGGCGTCCAAAACTGCACCGGCTTACCGTCGTCCAGTTCGGCCCCAAAGTGTCCGCCTGCCAAGGCAACAACCGCCGTTGTATGAAACACGAGACTTGGTCCCCTCATCGTCATCTCGAGAGCGCAAGCATCTGGGCCATTTCCGACAAGCGCATTGGCCATCCCCATCGCATACGCATCCATCGGCCCTGACGGACTTACTCCAATGTTCCAATACCCTACCCGACCCGGGTAATCTTGAAGTGAGGATTGGAGACCAGGTGCAACTACTTCTATTGAATTGGTCTTCGGAGTAAACGTGTTAAGCAGTCCAGTGGTGTACTTGCCTCGCAAGAAATTAGGATGATCAGTCGTCTGCAAAAGCAGCTCAACGTTGCTGGGTACTCCTCTCACAATCGTCTTCTTCAGAGCCTTTTTAAGCTCAACAATAGCAAGCGGTCGCGTCCGACCCCATGCCAATACCTTACCTAAGAGAGGGTCATAGTGTCCAGGTACCACGGTCCCTACTTGCGCCCAACCGTCCACTCGCACTTTGCAACCATTGGATTCGCCATTCTTTTCCTCTGGCCATTCCATGGCAGAGAGTGTGCCTGGACAAGGAACGTAATCTTTGGCAGGGTTTTCCGCATAGATACGTGCCTCAATAGCAACACCGGACTCTCTGAATTTGACAGCACCTCCCTCTAGAACATCGATACCGCCAGCTTGAGACAGCATCCATTGGACGATATCTATACCGCTTACGAGCTCGGTGACCCCATGTTCAACTTGCAATCGAGTGTTGACCTCCAGGAAAAACCATTCATTTGTAGATACATCCAAGATAAATTCGACAGTTCCAGCGGAGAGATAGTTGTGCTTTCCACAAAGCCTTTCTGCTGCTCTCCGGAGAGTGTTTCGCAGTTCCCCTCCCATGTTGGGTGCATTTCCTTCTTCAATGACTTTTTGTCGTCTTCTCTGAACAGAGCAATCTCTATCGCCAATTGCGATGCAAGTACCGTTGCCATCACCAAATACCTGCACTTCGATATGTCTCGCCCGTTCAACGTATCGCTCTAAGTAGACGTCGCTGTTCCCAAAAAGAGATTTCGCCTGGGCCACTACCGAATCGTATGCTCTCCGCAGGCCATCAACACTACGAACAATGGCCTGTCCCATACCACCACCTCCCGCAGACGCTTTGAGCAGAGCTGGAAAGCCCACCAATGTTGATTGTTCAACGGCATGCTCGATATCTGTCAAAACTGGACTCCCGGGGACAGTTGGCACATTTGCTTCGATGGAAGCCTGGCGAGCGGCATGCTTCAAGCCGAAGAGCTGAAGCGTTTCAGGTCGTGGACCGACCCATTTGATACCACTTCTCTCAAAAGCGGCAGCAGCTTCTGGGTCTTCAGAGATGAAACCGTAGCCCGGTAAGACAGCATCTGCGGATGCGGCTTTGGCTGCTGCGAGAAGAGCTGGGACGGAAATGTAGGCAGAAGGATCATTACCAAGGGAGTGAGTGGAGTCAGCTCCGAGTAGATGCGGTGACGCGGCATCGTCGGCAACGAAGACGGCTGCAGCTCGAAGATTGAGGAGGTGGCAAGCTTTGATAAGACGAATGGCGACCTCTCCACGATTAGCGATGAGTACGGTTGAAAATGGGAGGGAGGGGAGGGACTTTGTCTGAGTAGAAGTCGGGGAAGCTACTCGGGGATCGGTACGTGTGACGAAATGCGAGGGTGCTGTGCCACGCGGCATGGCTGGTGCGGAATGGTACGTCAGGCTTTGGGTACGAGACGGGCATGCAAGATGGGGATATATGTAGGACAGACAGGCTATAGTGTATGTAGAGGGGGAGGGCCTATGTGCTGAAGGAGGAGGTGGGCCCGTGTTTTACATTCAATGTGAGTTTCTGTTGGTAGCGTGAGCATAGACAGAAACCGTTAAGAGTAGTGAAATACTGTACAAGAAAGGGGTTGAGGTTGCGAGATGCATGTTGTTCTGAATCTGAATGCGAGATGGTGAGAGAATGTTGGACAGGGCATTTTTGTGGGGTTGTGAGCGACGGGTTGCAAACAAGTTGTGCAAGCAAGTCGTGCAAGCAAGGCGACGGCGGGAGAAGGCGGCAGAGGGGGTTTAGGGTGTATATGTATGTTATTTGGGGGGGGCGGGGTCGGGGCTCGAGGGAGGGCTTGCAGACTTCCACAGGGTCCAAAGTGTTGGTCCGTGACAATGTCCAGGCACCTTTCACGATGTAGGAGGAAACGTAGCAGTGATGAAAGTGGGTTGAGAGGGGTAGGAGAAGGGGAATGCATCGAGTGGGAGGGCTGCGCAAGTGGATAATTTGTCTGGGCCCGATGGCGTTACGACTTGGTCGAGGGGCGCCTTTTCATTGGCCCATGGCGGTGTAACAATGCATGTGACGGATGGTGACTCAGGGTGTTCTGTAAGGAATCTTGTCGCATTGCTTGGCCTGCCTTGAGATGGACAACATGCACGATGGGCATTACCTCTCTCGGGTCAAGTACCGACTTGACGCACGCCTCTCGCTCCCCAACATTGTGGGGGATTGCAGCCCCGCGTCGTATGCTCTGCATTGCGCATGAGTAAGGTTTAGTTCACCGAAAAATTCCCTCTCTGTGCTGGCCTCCAATGGACCACACACGTTGCTACGCACATACACATCTACATCAGAAAAAAAAAATTCCGGGCGTTCCCCTCTCGCGACTGGCAACTAACTAGACGGACGGTATATACTTTTCCTCGACTCCCCAACCAGGTCGCCGCACCTGAGCACCGGAATGTGCATTGTGCAGAAACATGCCAATAAATATAACATCCTCCCACATACCAACACCTGCCGCTTCACCATCGACCGTTCCTCGCGCAGCATTCATCTACTGCCTACATTTATGAGTACAATACTTTACGCATATATTTTCGATCAATATGCCCCTCCAGTTCCGGAAGTCTGCCGCTATCCTTCACCAATACCACACCCTCATTGGCTCAGCCTGAACATCCTGCGGCATCAGGTTGCGAGCTCGCAGTACGCTATCCTGCCTCGCGATCGTCAAGGCCCCACGCAGACAAAAAGAAGGGCACCCGCTCTCCGTCCAAACAGCAAAAAGACGTTTCTTGTACGGATTCAATGCCTGTCTGCCTTCCAGTGCCGTCAAGCCCTAGGCTCACCATACTTTTTTCAGCGTTTTCGGGAAGACTCATTGAACGCTGCGGAATTGTATAAAGTGTCGCACAAAATATCGTACGAAGGCACCGTCTATAGCATTGTCAAAAGGATTCCATTCAATTCAAACCCCCATTCCAAACTGCCTCGTCACGATACACTGCCATCTAAAGATCACTGTTCCTTCCTTCGTGACGATGCCAACATGTAGATCACGGAACAACTCCTTCGTCTGAAAATAGTTTCTTCTTCAACTATGCTACGAAGTGAATCCAACAGCGCTGTGCCTGAATTAAACACTGTTCTGCACGAGACATCACCAGGAACGATAGAGTCATATCCTCCAAGCATGTTAGAAAACCTTCGCCAGACAGCGGCCAGCGGCCGGTAAATAAATTTGAATGGTAAAAGAATATGAAAAATAAGAATCACACATCGAAGCTGAGGCGCCACGAATGGCCGGCTGACCAGTACAATTTGCTTCATTAATAATGAAAACCTACCTTATTGAAATGAGATATGGTATGAGGCAGGGCACAGGTACTGTGAGTAAGGCAGGCTACAGTGTGTAGCGTAAGGGCGTCCTCACAACTCTACATGTGGATTTCCAGTACACTGCAGACTCTAGTCCTGAAGTTCTTAAAAGGCATATTCAAAGCTGTATCAACTGCGATTAATTAAATTAAATTGATCAAGTCTTGAAAAGCAACAGATGGCAGGATATTGTATGTCCTCACGCAAGTACTATTTTGCTATTTCCGGAGACCTCCACTGCCAGGCACAACGTGTGAAGTCCAAACTCCGAGATGGCGCTTACTGTGAAAATGTCCTGCGCATATGCTTGAGCCGAGAGAACAAATTCTGCGACACCCATTGTTAGAGCGTACGCAGGAGGAGCTTGCTTCTATTTATTAGTGTTACTAGGTTAGACAAAGCAGTATATAATGGAGATACCAAAGCACCTAGTAGTGTGCAGGCTTGTAAAGGGGTAGATTTGAACATTATTGTCGACAGAACCCCTCTCAGGAACAGCGCTCCACCTGCCCGAAGGTTCCGCAGGGTTCCACAAGTCGGACGCAGGCTTCTCTCGGCATCAATAAACTTTTTAAATTTATTTGCTTTATTTTTTCACGGGACGAAAGCCCACACATGCAACTGTTTTTCCTCGCGAGATGCCGATGCTTGAAAACAAGTCGAGGACTGGTGGCGTTCCTGGAGGTCGACGTCAGCCTCACTAAATCAATCTGAACTGCAGCTCAGACTCAGGTGCCTTGAATGTTAATGCTGGACACTGTGACAGGCTGCTGACTGGGCGAAGGGTTTCGGCATCTGCCTTGTTATGGGTTGTGTAAGCATGTGCTGGATCGAAGGCCATGTTGAGAAGAGCTTGCGTCGTCTCTGTTTCGCGAGGAGAGCGGACCTGCAAAACGATTGGGGCGGATCATCCACCGACATGGCGAGAGCGGACGCGAAGCGTTGCAGGCGGTGGCAATGTGTCGCGCAAGGCCTCTCGTCCGCTCGCGCCATGTGGGTCGTTGATCCGCCCCAATCGTTTTGCATTGTGTGCTCGTGCAAACCGAAACATCACACTTTGCGTGACGATCTCGCCACTTTAAGTGGTGTCATTGGTTACTTTAAAGAGCATTTACAGTGCGATCTCAAGAGAGAACAAGTTCTTGATATGCGTCTTGCTGCCCCACTTGTATGGCGGGTTCTCCCTGGTTGTAAATAAAGTTTTTTATCATACGCGATATGCACCGTGATTTTAATACAATTCTCAATAAACTCAATTACAGTAGGGGCAAAAGAAGCCATTGAATTTCTCGTTGTCGTTTTTGTAACACAACATCATCCACTTTTTCCCCAGATCTCGCGAGATCCTCGATCTTTGCCACTTTCAACTCGCCGTACAACTGGGGGGCACACACAGGTACAGAACAAAACCCACGGAAAGGTTTCGTGTGCAGTACGGTACAGTACAGTCAGCCATAGTGTACCACCTGCACGATTGAAATGAAAAAAGGGTGCAGTCAATCAGATTTACTCGTGCACACCCATTGCTTTATCTCTTGCCAAAGAGCTTTGTCGGAACATGTGTTCAGTTTCCATGAAGGGTGCATTGTACTCTTTGTTACATTTTATCGTGCGATAGCGTATTGGCTTGTAAAGTTTACAGGACTGTACGATGTACTCTAGTACGTCAATGAAAGAGACTATCAAAGTATAAGCAAGTACAGTACATTATTGTGCATAATTATGTCAATGTCATCGATTCGGCACACCCTTCTGGAATACACCGCTTTCTCTTCCATATCAGGAGACCGAATGCCCTACAGTACTGTCCAAAAGATCGTAGCTGCGATCGAAGTTATGTACAGTACCCTCAGGTCAGGTACTGTACCTTTTTAATCGTGACTTTACAAATGCCAAAGAAAGGCGGCAGCACTCGAGGCCGTAGCTACAGTATTGTGATCAAGACCCACTCGATCCCACCGTACGCCGGGGCCGGAGGGAGGCAAGACTGAGAGTTCTGTACAGGAGTATACTCCATATTTTCTGGAGACGCCACTTGCGTTCCGGAGTTTTGATTCACGTGAGCAACTGTAACCGATTTTCGTCGTCCAGGTTGCTGCACGAACCACAAGTCTCGCACAATCTGGATTCAAGTAATCATCTATTCGAATGTGTTTCGTGAAATAACCTCTTTGACTGAGAAACACCGTAGCCATTCTTTATAAACATACAAGCGACATTTGGGAAATGGTGGCACACATGACATCCTTCATATCATTTGGTAGAATACGAAGAGAGATTAAGGACTTTCATTGTTATGACATCAGAATATAAGAAAAAGTGGTCGATATGTTAAATCGTATTGGCAGGAGGTCCGCATATTTCATGCAATGGCAATGAGTCAACATAATCCTCAACATGAAAGCGAATCACTGTACACAATTTACATTTTAGTCTTTTTCGGTTGTCAGCACACCATAATTTCTGGGATAGCAGTACACATCACAATTTTAATGGAACTCGGTGTCACACATCCTGGATTTTCATTGCAAACAGTGCATTTCAACTCCCATTTTTTTCGAAACGATACACATAGCGAAATTAATTGGCGGCTGCGGTCCATTCTCGGACTTCATCGGTAATCGGTACAGCAAACCTGGCGGTGACAATACGAAGAGGCGAATATTTCGGCATTTTGTTGCGAAATGTATGTAAGAATATTCCCGTCGCCGTCGGACATTCACCACCGCCGTCGATACCCATACATAGGGGTTGTCCACTGGCTACGAGTGCAGACACGCGCCGAGTGCAAATATGTGCCCCGAGGCTTGGCGAGGGCACCATATCGCAGCACGAGGCTGCGTGTCTGCACGCTGTAGCCAGTGGACAATATGCTTGTCTACCGGCTGACAGTGAAATGCTCGGCCACGTAGATGTATGACACAAGTCCACCAAAGATAAATCGCTGTTTTCCGCCGCCGTCGCTGTCGATGGGCTCCGCCGCCGTCGTTGTAGTATAGTAGCGGTCGCCAGCTATGAGCTAGCTCGAGGAAGAGGTAACAACCAATAGGGGGTGTCCCGCAGTAGATCGGGACTGTGGTAGAGCAACGGGGAAGTACGTCGGCCGACTGTAAAAGCACGACGTACTGGTCGAAGTGCGGACCCGGAATGGGGCCAGAACTGGAAGGGGTGGTGTAAGAACACACAAAACAGGGGGAATCCGAGCCTAAAGACTAGTGTCAGACACGGGCGGAGCGCCGAGTAGCGGGAACTCCTAGAGGGACGAGCGGGACAGATGTCAATAGTGCCGCCAAGGCCAGAGGCTTGTCGTAGCCCGCGACTTGA